TTACCCAAAAACGCGTTAGCAAGTCCTTATTAACAACAGCAAGTCTTAAAGGTATATGCATACCTTGACTAAATTCATAAAGGAAATGAATTTATTACAAAGAGTAATTATTTTGAGAACATTTTGGAAGACCCAAATATACGCATATGAGCGACTACGATTCAGCTGGATAGCAATTTGGCTTATTCTAGTTATTGTCTAATTGTAATTATGTATCTTTAATCTATAAAATCTATCGTTTCGAAAAAAAAAAAATCGAGCAATGAGCGACTATAATTTATGGGGGGAAATTCAACCAAATGCTCACAAAATTCAAATTAACAAAAATTACAATTGTGCATGAGCAAACATCAAGATATACAAAACAATAGGGAAAAGGAAAAAGACACCAAACCTTATAACTTCAAAGTGGAACAAAGCATAAAGTAAAAGTTTTTGTTAGGGAATATATGCATAGCATATGGAGATTTATTAACAACTGGATATGTTAAAAAAAGAAATAAACCGATGTACTCTAATGTATCTTCATCTTCATCAGTGACAACGGTTACAATTAAAAAAAAAAAAAAGTGTTTAGGAAAGACCATCGTGTGATTTATTGTTGGTGAATTTCGTGCAGTCAAATGGCCCCATCTGATTGTTTTTCCTTTTGACCTGAAAATCACAGCAAAATGTGTTCACCAAATCTGAAAAATGATGGATTAGGTAATAAGGTAAATGGTTTAGTAAAACCGACGGAACCGGCCGGTTCAACCAAGAACCGGTCAGTTGACCGATCCCAATTCGTGAAATGAACTGGTTGCCAACGACCTAGTCAAAAAACCGGTCAACTACCGTTTTGAACCGGTCAAAACCGGTCGGTCGGAACCGTTTGAACCGGTTCAGCTTTTTAGTTTTAGAGATAAATTTTAATACAGTTAATATATTTAAAAATATTTTCAATATAAATAAAAACACTTATTTAAATTAATGGATATATACAAGTTATTTTTAGTTAGGCATTTGAATGTTTTAAATTGGCTAAATATTAAATCAACAAAGTTTTTATGTATAATTTTTATTATATAATATATTATATATGCTTAAAAATATTAATAAATTAAATAACGGTTCAATGACTGATCGGACCAGTGACACATTGAATCAGCAGGTTGGTCGGTTTAATTACCGAATGCGCTGAGCCTAAGTGGTGTGTGCTTCGTAAGCTTATTTGTCATAAATTGTGCTTCATGTATTAGTATATTTTGTATTTAAAAATTTTTAAGTTTTTATTTATATTTATATTTTATTTATGATATATCAAAATAATCACATTTTAATGATTTTCGATTTGACATCTATATTGCATATATAAAATATAAAACAATTTCATATGTATTTATGAACAAAAATATATTTATTATCAAATAAATTTATAATAATCAAATAACAATATAAATTATTTAATAAAAATAATAAAAATTTAATTCATCAATACACCATAAAATAATGAATTTAATATGTTTTTTTCCATAGTTTTTAGATAAAATGTAGAAATTAAGTATTATTTCTCAATTTAAATATATTATAAGGAACCAAATGATATTATGTTGCTAGAAATAATAAATATAAAGGGATATCATAATTAAATATAATAAAATAGTTTTATGTTTTATCAATTTATAAATAATACATTTATGCATAAATTAAATATTTGAAATTATTAAGTTATATGTAGTTAAAAAACTTGAAAAGTTAAAAACGAGATACGCATAAAATATAATCACAATACAACAAACTTGTTTTGTTTTAAAAATATTAAATCAAGCATATGGGATTCTAACTAATATCTGTTTTAGACATATATAATTTTATAAAGATAATTAAAAAAATATTATTTTTGACAAATTTAGTATAAAATGTGGGCGACATATTGAACTAATTATCACTTTAGTTATTTATTATTGTTGTATATTCATTATACATAATTTGACAATAAAAATATAAATAATTTTAATTTTTTATTGTACAAATATTAATTATTTAAGTACTTGTGTAGTACACGAGTATCGTACTAGAATATAAATGTATTAGTATAGAAGGGGAGTGATTTGCTGAAAATAAAAGTTAAACAATTTCCCCACAAATTCGTAGAAAAGTATAATTTATTTGTTAGTAAATTTTATTTATATATTTGATTTGTTATTGATAAATAAGTTTGTTTCCATTTACTGTTAATTCAACACCGACATAAAAGGAAACTTCTTAAAATATCAAGAATAAATAATATAAATATCTATCATAATTAATCTAAAATATCTAGTATATTTAATATTAGTTAGGTGAGAGTTAATACTAACCGACATACTAGAGAATTCTATTAGTTAGTATAAATATAAGCATTGTGTATATGTGAGGGTGTGAGTGAACAAAATAAAAAAGAGAGTGGGTGTGTGCCGTGTGTAATCAAAACAAGAAAAGAAATTAAAGTGTGTGTGTAGAGAGTGATCAAAACAAAAGAAAATAAAAGAGTTGGTGGTGTGCTTGTGTGTTGTACGAGAGTGAGAAAAGTGAGTTGAGAGAAAAGAGTGAATTTTATATTGAGTGTTATTGTGAGTGATATATTTGTAATAATAAAATTAATTTATTAATTTTGAGTTTATTGGCCCATTTATTTCCAACACGTGGTATCAGAGCCACGTCTGGAAAGTTCACGCTCGTTCCAATTTATTCAGGGCTCATCACTATCCGTCAACTAGGGGGAGATTATTGAGTTCAAAGGCTTCGTGCACAATTAAAAGAAATTGTGAAGCGCGTGAGGCTTGCTTGGTTATGAGGAGGTAGTCCAAGTCACGATGACGGATCTACAATCAGTAGGCGGAATGGAGAAACTCAATAATCAAAATTACACCACATGGAGGACATGCATGGAGTCGTATCTCCAAGGCCAAGACCTGTGGGAAATTGTTGGCGGAGAAGAGGCCGCACCACCTGAAGAAGCCGGGGCCTTACGTAAATGGAAGATAAAGGCGGGAAAGGCCATGTACGCACTCAAGACAACTATTGACAAAGAGCTGTTGGAGCACATACGGGACACAAGCACTCCAAAACAAGCGTGGGACACTCTGGGAGCATTATTTTCAAAAAAGAATGAGTTCAAGCTGCAACTTCTCGAGAACGAGCTCCTATCACTAAAACAAGGGGAAATGACGGTACGTGACTACTTTAACAAAGTACGAACTCTTTGTCGCGAAATCTCTGAATTGGACCCCACTGATAATGTTTCAGAAGCTAAGATGAGAAGAATTATCATTCATGGCTTAAGACCCGAATTTAGGGGGATCATAGCCGCTATACAAGGTTGGTCTGAGCAGCCTTCTTTGGTAAATCTTGAAAATATTCTAGCCGACCAAGAAGCGCTGACCAGACAAATGGCGGAAGTCTCATTAAAGAAAGAAGATGAAGCTTTATTTAGTTATAAAAAGAATATGAGACCACGCCAACAAAATAAAAGAGATAAAAAGGAATATATTAAAAAGGAAGAAAGAAGCTCTGAAACAAAGGGGGTCCAACAAGATCGTTATAAGAAATATCAGACGTCCAAGGGGAATAAAAAGGGCCCGTGCTACGTATGTGGCAAGCCGAATCACTATGCCAGAGACTGCTGGCATAGGAAAAATGTTGCTGAAGGAAATATAGCAACGTCAAACAACCAGGAGACTAACAACAGCGAAGAAGAGTGGGACATAGAGGCATCCATGGCGATAGTCGAGGAGATCGTCCCAACTGTATCTGAGGAGGCCCGTAAAGAAGAGCAATCAAGCTTAAACGAAGAAACGGCATTAGCTGTTGTTGTCCCTACGAATAAATTATGAAAATGATTGGATCGTGGACTCGGGATGCTCCAATCATATGACAGGAGATAAAGAAAAGTTGCAGAACACAACAGAATACAAAGGAGGCCGGATGATAGTCACTGCTAACAATTCAAGGTTGCCAATAGCCCATATTGGCAAGACGGTCGGTATAGTCCTGGTCAAGTACAACTGCAGGACGTCTACCATGTCTCAGGTATGAAGAAAAATCTTCTATCAGTATCACAACTGACAACTTTGGGGAATTATGTTATTTTGGACCCAATAACGTCAAAGTGTACGAAAATCCCAAAATTATCGGCACACCGATCATGGAGGGTCGAAAGCTCGAGTCCATCTACGTAATGTCAGCAGAGTTTGCTTATGTAGATAAGACTCGAAAGAATGAAACAGCTGACTTATGGCATGCGAGGCTGGGACATGTAAGCAATCATAAGCTTAAGGTGATGATGAAGAAATCAATGTTGAAGTGCCTTCCTCAACTGGAGATAAGAGATAATACAATATGTGCTGAATGTCAATATGGTAAAGCACATCAACTACCATTTGAAGATTCAAGCTACAAAGCAAAGAAGCCTCTAGAGACAATTCACTTAAAAAATAAGATTAAGATGTCATTCTTTTAGAACAATAAACATAAGTACAGTTTAAATGTAAAAAAAAAAAAAAAATCGTTTGGTTATTTCAATTCGTAAAAATTTAAACTTGAATTTTAATTCGATAAGAATAATTTTCAGTAACAAGTTTATCCGAATATAAATCCAAAATAGGCACATATTCAATTCAAAATTATCGAATATTTAATTATTCAGTAATAATTATAAAATATTTAATATATTATATAGGATACAAATAAAATTCATATAATATATACTATATGCATAATACTTTTTATATGTGAAATTAAAATAATTAAAAAAATATATAATGTGGTAAAATAAATTTCAAATCGAATCGAATATGTTCCATGATCTTAATCAAATTAAATACGAATCACAAATTAAATTGAATAATGAATGGATACTTTGAAAATAGCAAGTGTTTCTAACTAGAAAAAATAAAGCATTACAAAACTATCACATGAGACTAGACCTGAAATTGACAGATCAGTAATATGGAACAAAATTACAAAAGAGTAGTTAGCAATCAATTTACCTCTCTGGCCAAATCCACAAGGCATTCCCCCAACAAATCCAAAAGAACGCTCCAACCCAACCTAGTGTATGGGACCCCATCCCTCCGAGCCGGGACGACCAGCACGACCAACCCTCCCGGCACCACCTCGCGAGCCCGCGCCTCCAAAAACCGAGACACGTCATCCGCGTGGCGCCATGCGTACGCGTCCGCCACCTCATCGCGGGCCCCGCAACAGTACGCTCTTCCTGGGTTCGCCGCGCGTGGCGCCTCGGAGAGCCAATGGAGCGCGGACGAGCAGTGCACCACGTCGAGGGACCCGCTCGGAAAAAGCCGACCGTGGAACGAGCCCGGAACACCCGACGCGTAATATTCCCTCTCGGTCGGGAGGGACTTGAAGAGTGTGTTGAAGTCGTTGAGCGCGTGGTCGTTAAAGTAGACGTGGAATTCTGCAGTCGTTTTGCCGTTGTTTTTGTTGTTGTTGTTGTTGCTGCTGTTTTTGCTGTTATTGTTGTTTTTGTTGTTGTCTGGAATATTTGAGTGTGTCGAGAGTTTGAGTTTGATGGCATCGAGAATGTTGTCCACGGCGATGAGAGTGTTGGGCCCGACCGAGCAGCCTAAATCGGCGATGCGGAAAGTTTGTGAGTTCGTGATTGTTAGGTGCTCAACAATCGACTTCCGAACGAGCGATTTGGAGGTGTCGATGGCCGATTTCTATAGTGATAGAGGCCACATACACATATATAAAGATGCATTTTTTGGATGAATAATAATTTGTAGCAAATAGTTATTCACATATATATACCTGGAAAGAGGAGTTTCTTGTGTAGCTTTCATCTCCATCACCTCCATTCATCACAAAGCCATCTATGGAACCCATCTCTCTCTCTCTCTCTCTCTCTCTCTCTCTAGAGTGTGTGTGTGTGTCTTTGTGTTTGTAGTATACAAGTACCCACTGTTTTTCTTACTATTTAAGTGGTTTTAATAAGAGTTAAAATAGCAAGCTGATTTTTTTTTTTTTTAATTCTATTTTAACTTATAGATATTATTTTATTTTTCTAAATCATTGATCAAGTCTAATACAAATGGATGAAATGTTGTGAACAAAAAAAAAAAATGACTTCAATCATTGAGCCAAAGGGCAAATTCATTTGGCCTAGGAAGTGGAATTTATATCCACCTTTGCATCACATTAATGGCATGATTTGTGGCAATTTTATTACCTATGTTCAATGGTTTAGTGATGGGCATAAAGACCCTAAAATATTTAATATTTTATTTAAAATAAGATAATTAATTGATATAATATGTAATTAATTTTGACAGGATTCTCTTTGCTACACCTATATATAAATGATTCGTCCCTAATCAGTTGACGGGAGACACTAATTTGATTGGATAAACGCAAGTCTCACAAATATTTTATAATCATACACGTGTCACTTATCCAACAGAATCAAACAGAAACCGATACATGATTAAGGAGAATGAGATCTCAATCCGACTGTTTAAGGAGGAAAATTTAGGAAGATGATTTGAGAAGTTGAACATCATTAGTTATTAATTCCTTAGTTATATAGATAAAACAGAGTACTAAACAGAGTGTACTCATCCTAGTCATGGACTTGCTAGC